CAGAATTTAATATCTAAGTAGGATCCTTGTTTGAAACCATATTGAACATATTTACTGGGTCATGAAACATGGGTAAAGCAAACAACAGAAAAGAAGCTCATGTCAAAAACTTATGGCTAAGTTATAGTTAGGTTAGTTTAGCTAGGTTATAATTTAACTGTATCGTGAATTAAATTCCATGAAAATTTAAATAACTTCAGATTTTATTCTGGACATTGAAGAAAAAAGACAATCTGACATTTTAAATGAAATAAATCATCCTTTAAAAGACACACACAGCAATGTGGGAGAAAAACATCAATGCTGAATGCTACAAGTGCACAAATATGAAGTCAGCGTGGTGCTGCAGTGAACGCATCAGTTCACACAATATTTCAGAAATACTATTTCATTAAAATGTCTTATATTGTTTCTTGGTCTTGTAAATTTATTTTTCTTCAGTCATTTCTGAAACAAAGTCCACACTGAATGCCGGCTGTGCATCTGTGGTCATGTGAAGCTACATTAATGTAACAGCATGCCAGAGTGTAAACACAGATATTTATCTTTTTTCCGTTTCATTAGGCATTTAAACCAAATACTAAAACACCCTGATACGACTCAGAGTCAGTCTCAGAGTACTATACATTCTATAGTACACTTAGCATAAAGAACAAAACAATGCACAAATTGGTAATTAAAGCCCTTGAAGGAATAAATCATATACATTGAAATATTGTATTTTCAGAACAACTACATTATGTGACTGTCTGTGTGCAACTTACAGCTATAAGCATTTGATATTAAATATATGCATGCTAAAACATGACAGACAACAAAGGCAGAGTACTTAGGCACAGAAATGTTTTTACATGTTTTCAATTGAGCTTCGTATGGCTTACATTTAACTACAGCTACTTATTCTTTCCTTCATCATAACAATCAGCTGTTGAAACTAATTATTTCGGCGAGTAGCAACAGTGACTAACAGAAACCAACAGCGCTGTGATCGTGTTTTTGTGTGTGAATACATTCATGTGAATTTCCAAAGCTAACTGAAGGACAATCATGTGATTAGCAGCGCTGACTAAAGTTCAGTGGTACAAGGTTTGTATTAAAAGACTAAATATTCAAGTTCACAGGTCGGGGCATGTTGTGTCATGCTTTAGCCCAGCGAGTGTTGCTTCTTCAGGTTCTCCGAGCGCTTCACCCTCTCCTCTGGGGTCTTTCTGTACCAGCTCCTAAGAGAAAAAAGTCACTGTGGTGACTTTAAATACGCCAAAAGCAGGGTGTGTCTGAAGACTGCTGTTTTCATGAATATGAAATTCAGGCAATTGGTGTTTTATAAAAAGTGTTTCACAATCTGTACCAGTACAGACTCACCCCTGACGGTTAAGCTGTCCTGGGACAGAGGCATTTTGTCCTTGGCTTGCCTTCAAGACTCTAGGAAAGGAATAATGAATTTATCTAAACAACGTCTGGGGACAAAAATCTAGAAATTACATCGAGGGAAACACAAAATGAATTAAAAAGTAATAAAATCCCACAGCTGTGTCTCACACCTGTTGGTAGTGGGGCTTTTTGGCTTCTGCTGCATCTTCCTAGTCTGTGCTGGAGATTCACCAACCCTAAAGAAGCACCACATACACCACTGATCACTGGATCTCAACACCATGAACGTAAAACACATGGTTTCATTTCTTGTCTTACTTCTTTTTCCTGTCCAGAGACCTCTGTGTGGCAGCAGAAAGAGCCACTCTCTCTTTGGGGCACTTGACTTTCTCCTGTTGGAGTGAATGTAGTTTATAGTTTATTAAAAAAACAACTCAGAATACTGAAAAAGTCAAAGACAGTCACAAACCAATTTCTTACAATGATATATTAATCACTGCTTTTGTGAGAAGGTGCTGTATTACAAACAATGCATTAATAACAACAAGATAAGCCACGAGTGTCCGGATGAACCTTTCCAGACACAGAATGCATGGCTTCATAAAACTTTCTCCAGTGTTTGAACAAGCTAAAGCTTAGTTTATAGGCTCTAGAAGGACAGAGGGATATTTTCAGTCACCTTCTCTTGATTAAATCTGGATACTTGATTATTTACTTGACTGTGTTCATGTTACCATGTCTCGTAGCTTCCTCTCCACACGGAGCTCTCTGTCCTGCTGCAGTAATGCTAAGCGATCCTCCAAAGGCATTTCAAAGAAGATGTCATGGATGTCATACAGGGCTGCACGTAACTGAGGGAACAACAAACAAGGAGAAACAAGAATAAAGATGGCCCTCTGCTGGCTATAGAGGTTTAGTACACAGTCATACCTGGGCTCTAACTCTCTCCTGCAGGGCGAGATCTTGTGCTGTGTAGGTGCTTCTCTTCTGTAGAGCTTCAGTTTGAAATGAACGGATGAACTCCTGCGTATCCTTAAGGCACACATATAAATACACAGAGAGAGTGCACAGTTAGACACACTCAGTCACTAACGTCATAATCTAAAATGAAACTTTCTTACACTCCTGTAACTCTTTTATTGTGTATGAAGGCATGAAATTGAACTCACCATAATGGTTTGGCGGAGGTGTTTGACTTTCTCCGTTTTAAGCAGTCTGCGTGTGAGGAAGCCGCGAGTGATAGCACCAATTCTGCAAAATGCTTTCTGCTGATCAGCTGTCAGAACCTGGGAGAATGTAAAGAAGAACATGGAGAAAATGTGAGATAGTAAGATAAATGATATCAGTCTGCACATACATACACGTTTTCTGATTTAATGGACAAAAAATAGACTCAATTACAATAAAAGGTTGCTGCAAGACTGAATACCAAGAAGACTTTTAGCTTCTATTTGGTCTTTGCTTTGAAGACTTACAACAGTTCACAGCATTATGGATGTAACAGAGTAAAAGAAACAATGGTACTCACAATATAAATCAGATTTAAATACACTTATTATATACACTTTACAGTATATATACTACATGTACTTAAAGGTTTAATGAGCTCAGCCAGTGTGCTGAAGTTTGGATTTGGCTGCAAATGCTATTCCTGTTTTGCAGTGTTTACACACCAGACTTTGCCTCGCCCGAGGTTTGTTAGCCCCCCACGTGGAACCCCACAGATAAAGAGGAGGCTGAAGACATGGAGAGGATGCACTAGAAGGGACAGGACTGGGCAAACCTGGAGAAAGAAACAGCAGATATTTTAAAGACGCAGCTGAAACGAGCAGCATATCCCATCAACAAACACTAGCAGTTTATTTTTTTACTGATATTACAGGACACAGAATTTAGAAGGCAAATAACAGACAATAACAGTGATCGAAAACATTAAAAAGTAATCACTGTTGTTCTTCAGCCACTAGTCAGTGTATCTGATCTGTTTCTCTACTCCCTGTGTAATGTGTAGCCTGCTCATCAGCTCAGAAGTGACCGCAACGCAACCTCACACAGTGGTTGCGTGCTTTGCTGCACACAGTGGCAAAGACTTGCACAGTGACTTTCATATTTAATTCAGCTTCTCCATCTTGTAATTTTAGCTGTTGCATACAGGGTTTAGCATATTAGTTGTTTGTATAGGTGTGCTCTATATCTCAACAATGGCTCATATTAGGATGACAGTTTTTCAAACATGTCAAGTGCCTCTATGCACTTCATCAGTTTAAATATTCTCCTAATTTACTTCATCTCCAGTGTTGGGGAGTAACGGAATACATGTACCGCCGTTA